GGCCTAGAAAGATAATGGGCAGACAGGATCCTGAAATTATATTCTCCATTTGAGTAAATTGTTCCTTGAATGAGAACACTTACACAGCTGTTGGGATGGGGTAGTGATAGGTTCAGAAAAAGTGAGAAGTCATTGTTAATATTAGCAAAGTAGCTCTGAGAATCTGGAGGCATCAAATCCAGGAGCTAGTCTAAGCAGCAACTTGAAAAAAGAAAGATAAACACGATATGAAATCTAAAGTGTTAATTGAGTGGGTAATAGTAAGAATGCTAATAACCATCTGTTAATACAGGAAGATTTATTGTTTTTGTTCATAATGTTTAGCATTTATTAAGATTTAACAATAGCCACAATATTTGGAGTCCTGCATATATTAATTAATTTATACTTATCATTCAAAACGTATCTCATTATACCCAAAATGGTGCATATACTCCCCAAACAAAATTGGAGGTTTAAAATGATCTGTGGTTTGTATTTGCTAAGTGTAGATGTGTAAAGCTGATTGCATCTGCCAGCTGGATAGCCAGACAGCAGAGTGGACTTGTCTAATTAGAAGCAAGCGCATATAAATCAATACTTTCTTTTTATAGTACAATTAGAACGTGTGTGTGTACTAAATTGTAATTTAATTTTTCAAATGGTTCTACAACCAAGTTAATTTTTAAAGCCCTTTTCGGTCATACAAATCCCCGTAAGATATAAATAGAGTTATTGTTGTTTTATCATTCAGGCAAACAATTTAAGATCCATCTAGTGACATAATGTAAGCATAAACTGCATGTAACTACTCATGTAATGCCTTCAATCTGGCTTACTATCCTGGACCTCGTATGTGACTTAATTGTTTGCCTACTATTCTCCTACTTATACTATTTATCTCCTAGAGAATGCTCTCTTTGTTATCTGTGACCGTTAAAACCCTTCCTAATTGACAAGTGCAGCTCAAAGATCCTTTGGTGAATTTCGTTGGTCTAGATCTGATCTTTCCATCACCCAACCTACGACCCTGATTTGGTGACATTCTGCCTCTCATTATGTCTCCCACGGCCCTTTACACCAGGACACAGAACATATGTATATTTTGAATAAATGAATGAGAACAACAGTATCTACCCGCCTTGCTCTAGCACACATCGCAGCTTCTGGAAGAGATAGCTGGTGAGGACATGGGACCTAAAAGAAAATCAGGTCCTTGAGAAACCAAGCCAATTAAAGGGAGAGAATTTCACTCACATCGAATTCAGGGATGTAGTCGGCATCTTTCTACTTGAGACCTGTAACATTGCTGACCACACTGCCTGAGGAATAGATTTTTAGTTTTTAGTCTGTGAATCTTCATTTTCAACAATTAAGGAAGAAAATATTGGCCATCCACAACCTGGGGTAGAGTGGTTTTATCTGATAGACGAAGTGCATAGCCTCTGTTCCCTCAGGGTCAGCATTGAATCGGAATTCTCTGGGTGGTGGAATCCAGGTCAAGAACTCCGAGAGAGTTGGCTGCCCCTCTGAACAATTAGATCCACAACACCACATGCTGTACTTTGTCCAATTAGTTTGCGAGAGAGCACGGACCAGGGCTTTCATTGCTCTGAGGGCCTGTTTATGTACATTGTGTGCAGCAATCTTCTTTTTTAATCGTTTTATTAGGGGCTCATGCAATCTTAAATATGTTTTCGGATGTGCAGAACCATGAATTCTAAATGAGTGGTGTTTGGGGGGACCTTCACAGATACACACAGCCATCAATGTTAAGAAAGGGAAATGCACCTTGGGTTTCAGTTCTACCACCTGGTGATTTTGACGCAATAATCACCTTTGGGGGGGGAGGGGGATGAGAGAAGCCTGTCATTATCTGTGTAACTGGTTCCAGCTAGTGAAACCTACTTCTGAGAATTGATAATCTGTTCATTAGCAACATGATTACGTTCGCACAGGTTTCATTATGGTAGAAGAGAATAATGAAAGTTGGGCTCAGTCTCTGAAACTCAGTATACACAGCTTGACCCTTTATTACTCTCAAAAGATGTTATTCAACTTGGGCACGGATTTATTATAGCGATTTTCTGATTGTAAAAACTGTGAAGCAATCTAAATATTTATCAGTAGATAAGCAAAGAAAGCACTATATGTGTATGTTCATACAATGTAATATGACTCAGCATAATGAGAAATGAAGTCCTCATACATGCCAAACATGGGTGAGCCTCAAAAATGTTATGCTGAGTGAAACAAATCTGACGCAAAAAGGCAAATACTGTATGATATTATTTACATGAAATAAAGAAACATAGAAACTATACTGATGACTGGCTCCTGGGCGGGAGGAAGCAGATCTGAGGAAGGTTTTGCTTTAATATTGAGTTTATGTTAATGGTAGTGGAACATCAAGAACGCTTGTACAACTTGAAGGCTATAAATCATGTCACTTAATTGCATATAGACATTTTGAGATAGTGTATGTGTTGCTACATTTATTTTCACCACAACAGTAACCAAAAAAGAAATGTCACACAATATGGTGAAACTTTTGGAAACTACTAAATCAACTGGATTCTAAATTTCAACATGTTTCTACTGAAAATATTTTATCCTAACTTCTTCATTTCTACCTTCTTGGTTCAAGAAATGATTAGTTTCTCTCCCTTTAGAGGAAACATGCTGTATTTTTATTTTTAAATTGGCATATTGGCATATACTTCATGTAGCATACAACTTACTTGTTCAATCATATTAGGAAGGTATGTGCAATCCTCACCGCAATCAATTTCAGAACACTTTTTTCTTGTACTTGTTGCTAACTCCCTATTTCCCTTCATCACCACTGTCATGCTGAGCCATCATCAATCTAGTCGCCCTCTCTACAGAGCTACCTATCCTGTATGTCATATGCAGAAAATCATACACAACACAGGAGAGAAACAAGCAAGCAAGCAAACAAAAAACAATGATTAGACAAAATTGTCTAATTGTTAAGCATGCAAATAGCACCTGTGATGCAAGGCATCTTCTCCCCCTCTCTCATATACCTTTAAGGCACACAGAGGGGTGGGGGAAGAAAAATTAAGGCAATGGGGGTTCAGGCCACTAACCAACCCAAAGAGAGGGTATTCTTTATACCTCCACAGGAAAGAAAGAGCAGGGTAGACCTCCTTCTGGCTGTCCCATTCCATGAGGGCAATGTTCCTGAGCCGAGGAACTCCCAGAGATGACTTCAGGGCCAGCCTCAGATGGAGACACGATGACCTCTCCCTGGACAACAGCGCTACAGAGGACAAGCCCTGAAGACAAAGTTTCAGGAGAGCTGCTGGTCTGACCCGCCCACATGGGGGCCAACTAGGTGAGGATGTGCAACAAACCAGTGATGGGAACAAAGCTAAGAACTCTGTGAGGAACCCTGATGGTAGAATTTCTGATTTGGAGGTAGCACTTGGCACCCCACCTAAACTGGTTGGGGGTTACTCACAAAGGACCACATTGAAAGTCTTGGGAATAGCTACGTGAATCTATGGGAAAACTCACCTTTTGGACACGAATGTGACTCTGTGTCATGATCCTTGTTAGTCTGGTGGCTACCTGTATATTGGTTTTTTATCTTTTATTTTATTATTATTATTTTGTTTTGGTTTGGGTTTTTTGGTGTTGATCTATACACAAAATGCAGGATGGGCAGTCTTAAAGAGCTAGTGGTACCTGGGGGGTATGGGAGGGGAAGAGTGAGGAGAAGTGAGTGGCGAGCCAACAGTGATGGGTTCAGGGGAATAGTAAGAAGGAGGGAGGAGAAAAATGAGGAGCTGATGCCAGGGTCTTAGGTGGAGAGCAAATGTTTTGAGAATGATGAGGGCAATGAATGTGCTTTACACAATTGATGTGTGTATGGATTGTGATAAGAGTTGTATGAGTCCCTAATAAAATGATATAAAAAACAAAAGAATTCTAAAATGGACCGCAAGGATGGTGTAGCTTTTCTGGTTGTATTTGATCAATCAAATTGTATCTGAGGGGAATTACTGAGAGGTGAACAACAGACAAGCATAATAGTGGGGTAGAAGAAAAAAATAAATGCCAACTATGTATATATACATATATATATGATATCTATATATGTGTATGTTTGCTTATATATGTACGTATATGTAAATACAACAAGGAAGCAGATGGAATTTGGGCCTCTACTAAAATCTTACCTCTGTACAAGATTGGTTTGTTCTAATAATGTGACACTGTATGATACCCACCTCCCTGACATGATGGCTGAACACAAAACGGGTGCATAAGCAAATGTGATGAAGAAAGCTGATGGTGCCCAGCTATCAAAAACTATAGTGTCTGGGTCTTAAAGACTTGAAGTTAAACCTGCAGTCATCTATCAGGGAAGCAACAAGGCCCACATGGAAGAAGAACACCAGGCGGTGTGATCATGAGGTGTCAATGAGAAGAGGTATCAGAAATTCAAAAAACAAGCATCCAAATTGATATGAATAGGAGTGGATATAGTGGAGACTCAAAGTCCACCAGCAAGGCAACTGGAAAGTCCCTCTTAAAGAAGGGCCCCATGGAATGGAGGATAAATCCAGGATGTAGTGTGACATTGATGGAACATGTAACTATCTTCTAGTTCTTTAAGATTTCTTCCCCTTACTATTATGGTCCATATGTGATAAACCTTATTGGTCATGTTAGACTTGTGTATGTTCATTTGTACATTTAAGATTGCTCAGAACATTGTAGTCAAGATATACGGCCTGTCAGAGATACTGACAGGTGTAAGGGTTCCCTGAGGGAATGAGACATAATGGGGAGGGGTAGAGAAAGGCGCGTGAGGGGAGTTGATAGCATTAATGATTGTATAGGCCCGCCCGATGGGATTGAACCACAGAACGGTATAGGAAGGGAAGAGAAACATTGGAATTAGTATGATACATCAATAAAAATATCATTTGAAAATCCTCAATAAAAAAAGAAAGCTGAAAATATTAAAAACAGAAATAACTAAAAAAATAAAGGGCTTGTGCCATTAAGTGGCACACGTAGGGCATCTCTATTGCTCTACGTGTGAAATCAACATCAAGAGATTTCGGAAGCATAATTTTTGTTACCTGGGCTGCTAGTGATCATTGTTCCTGGCGTCCTGAAAAAAAGAAAAAGAAAAAGACAAAAAATTAACTTTAGGGTGGGCCAAAAGGGAGAGCAAATGATAACATATTAAATTTAACCTAACTACATCTGTCATAATCAACTTAACAATGCTCTCTGTTTGATAGCACAGCTATTCACATCACTGGACTGTGGTCAGAGTGGATTCATCAAAGGCTCAATCGTGTGAGTGATCCTGAAAATAGATTTTGGGCCTCCACTGCCATCCACTTTTTCAAACTGGTTTTTCACAGTGTAAGCTCTGATGCTCTTCCCTCCTTTGAGTTTGGATTTTATTATTTACAATCCTTGGCTCACACCGTCTGCCTTGCTTCTTCCATGTGAACTTAACACCCTATTCAGATGGCTATTTAAAGACAAGCCTTTACGACCCTAGACACTATAATGTGTGATTACTGGGCACCATTTTGTTTTCTTCACCATATTTTTCTATAACACCCAAATCTGCAATGATCTCTTCATGAAGGTAAGCATCAAACAGGGCCAAGGACATATTACTTCTTACTGAGATCAATGAATAACCTTGACCCGGTCTTCCAACCCCCTCCATTTCTTTGCTCCAAAGCAGTCTTCACTTTCTTGCCAGAGTTTTCTTCCTGAAAGACAGGTAAGTTCTTGTTCAGCCACTTCCAATGCCCCCTCATTATCGTTTTGTGCTACTTTATAGCATGGGTCTATTCGCTCTCTCTCTGACCTTGGTTTCCCTTGTTCTCTACAGTCAGTTTATGAGCTAATTCAATGAAGCCAATATGCTGTCCTGCCATTTTGGCTTTGTTCCTTTACTGATTTGGGCTAGTCTTGCCACCTGGACAGCTCTTGTCTCCGTAGCAACTACACACAATTTGATTCATTCTTTAAGGTCCATCTCAAACCATACCTTCTAAAGCTTTTCTAGATTCTCATTAGCTCACGCGCTTTCTAACTTTATTTCATCTATGATGGAGGTGCCTGTGCACTGGTTGTACTCTTCCACTCTGCTGTCTTCCAAAGGAGGGCATGCCGTGAGTAGAGAGTTCTGTGGCTAAATACAGTTAGAAAGTCTTTCCCTTAGAAATAAAACACATAAAAGCTTATGAAATATGTCATCAATTCAAAGGCTATAAGAAGTGTAGTAGTCAAGAAACCTATCTACTTGTGTTTAACTTGAAGTTTCTAAAAGTACTATTTAGCATTCTATAGAAAGAATGCATTTTGGAAAATCTGCAATGCTGTCTTTGAAACTCTTAGAGAATAATAACCCTTTTATCTTTGTTTCCCCAATACCATCATGCAAAGTGCTTTATATACAGTAGATGGTCAATAAATATTAGACAAAATAAATGTATTGGTACCATAAAATTTGGGATCCCTAAGAATATGGAGCCCTGGCAGTGTAGTGGTCATGCATTGTGCTGCCGTTTGAATGATCGGCAGTTTGAAAACCCCCGCAGCTCTGTGGGAGAAAGCCCGGCTTCTATTCCTGTAAACAGTTACAGTCTCAGAAACTGCCAGGGGGTCTCTATGGATCAGCTTGGACTCGCTGGCAGTGTCATTGAGTTTGAATAATTTGAATCTGAGTTCGAGCTTTGTAATTTGTAGTGTCAACTGGGCCAAAGCAGGTTTCACATCTATTGTTAATTCTCCAGCATATTTTCTCGTCATAATGTAGCTCTGAAGTTATAATAACAAGCTATTAAAAGGCATGAGAAAGGTTGGAGCAAAGATAAAATAGAAGAAAGAGTAAAGTATCACACCTGCATCACATTTTGCTGAGATGACCTGATTCTTTTTTCCCTCCTGGATTGATATTAATCGCAAAAGTCCCTGTTTACAGGAGAGTTACGATGGTCAGGTCCTACACTGAACTTCTCACATATATGATCTCATGTTGTCCAAAATGCCCACTAGATTGGCACTGGCATTCTTACTCGACAAATAGGGAAGCTGAGGCTCACAGGGTTTGAGTAACTCTTTTACATAGTCACATCTTATAAAATGTAAGAAACCTTCAAGTTCAAGCCCACTTTATTTTGTCTCCAATGGCTAATCTTTTCAGATGTAGGTCTCCAGGAATTTATTTCAAGTCACTTCTAGATGGACTTGAATTTCAAACCTTCTAGTTAGTAGCTGATAACATTAATTGTTTGTACACCCCTCCCCCCCAAATAATAACAAAACAAAGAACTCCAAATTCATTGTCATCCAGTTGATTCTGACTCACAGTGAAGCTACAGGACAGAGTAGAAATGCCTCTGTGGGTTCCAGAGCCTGCAGATCATTTTTCTCCCGCTTAGGGCTAGTGGGTCTGAATTGCTGACATTGCAGTTAGCAGCCAAACATCATCCATTACATCAAGAGGGCTCCTTTTGCACAACCCAGGACTCCTAGAACCCACATTCTTAGCCACCAAGCTAGTTTTGGTTTCTCTGCTTGACAAGGTGCTCGACAGACATCCTTGCCCTACCCCAACCCTATTATTGCTGTCGCTCTGCCTGTACCCAGATCGATCCCACTTGATTGCTGGATTAAAGTCCGTCATTGTGGACACCCTTCATCGTTAAAAATTGTTGAGGCTCCCACTTTCCTCTTTTTGTTCTTTTGGTGATATTTGGTGAGGCAGTGTGGAGGATTTCAAGAAAATAAACCTTTGCTACTAAAATATAGTTGAATTACACACTTCAAAATCGTCTGAAATCCCCCCCACCTTACATAGAACTGAGTTCTGTGCGACCCAAAACAAACACACTTTGAGGGACTCTGTTTAAAAAAATAGAACAGAAACTTAAAAACCGAAAGTCAGATATAAAGTTTTGAAATGCAGCTTAGAACTGAGCATCTCTGAGGTCTACAATTTATTAACATCCTGTTACAGTTACCTCTCCTTTTGCCAGCACAGAATCAGACACTGGGCATGGCAGTTTCAAAAATTAGAAGACACTTTGTCTAACTGGGGTGAATTCACTGTTGCTATAAAGTAACACAAGAAGAACTACAAAGCAAGCTGTAAGTGAGTGATGCCTGACTTTGTGACCAGAACTGAATGGAAAGGCTAAGATTGTTGAATAAAAATTGGCTAATTTGCCAGGTTAGATCATCTCTGTGCTAACAGCATGAAAGCGATTTTAGACATGGATGGGAGACAAGTGAGAGCTACAGAAAATGATGCCATTACTCTAATAAGAAAGGTTAGTTTTCTTATCGTTCCACTTATTTTTAATGATGAAACTTCACATCACGATCTGAAATACAGAAATTATATCATTTTCAATATAATAAAGTCATATGTTGCTACAAGCAAGGAACCTTGGAGTTGGCTTTTCATGACCTCCCTGGAAGTAAGGACCCACAGAAGATGAACTAGGAGCTCCATACCTATTTGAGTGTGCGTGACTGGAAGGTGGGTGCTGGCCCTCACTGAATATTTTACTTGTTAGTGTTTTCCCCATATTGGCCTGGTCCATTCACACCAAATCCCTACCCATGAGTCAAACGCCCATCTCGGAGCACCCCAATTCTCATTCCAAGTAGTCAAAGCGTCAGTGGCAACCTCTCCCAGGGAAATTCCAACAATCAGCTATTTATATGAATTAGTTTAGCCCCACACTCTTCTGAAGAACTGTGACCGTGTTGGAGGTCCGGAAAAATGTTACAGAAGATGAAGCAGATGCGAGTGGCAGGTGGAAAGAAGCAAAGCTACTCTGCAGGCTGCTCTCGTCCTTTCCCCTCACTACCTGAGTGTTCGTAAGCATGAGTTGTACAGACCTGACATATATTCGATGAGCCTTTATTCATATTTGTTGGATTGCTTTAATATTAAAAAAGGAGAAGAAGAGAGATTGACATCAAGATTTTAGGCTCATAAAACATTCAAAGGAACTTGGAGATTGTCTGGCTCACCCTTCATCAGACTTTATTTTTGAAATTTTTATTTGATTGCTTTTATGCTAAAAAGATGTAAGTTCAATCTAGGCATATTATAGAACTTCAGAAAAGAGGGAATAAAAAGGGAAATCATTTATCACCTCAATGCCCTATACAGCCATCAGTATCAATTATCACATGCATGTTTTACCAGCTTATAATTGTAGTGTGCAGACAATGTTGTCTCCTTTTATTTTGGTGTTAAAACTTAACAAGGAGAATGAGGTTACTGAGGCCCTATATCCCAAGACTGTCTAATATCTGCCATTTACAGCATTTATTTTTATACTAACTGAGAATCCTTATCTCGGTTGCTTCCAATTCTCTCTTGAGACCGCCTCCACTGTTTTTGTTGAGTGGAATAAAAGTGCCGGGTTTCGGATACCCAGATACAGTATGACACTCGACTCAACTGAGTTTGTTTGATTCTGTTTCTTCATTTGTAAAATGGAGATAATATTATTATCTTCCTATGTGGTTGGGGTAAAACTTGTTAGTTGCCGCCAGATTAACTCTTCCTCGTGGTGATCTCCTGGGAAAGCGATACAAAGAGTACTCAATCCTGCATCATTCTCACAAGGGCCAGCATGTTGAGCCCAACACGCTAGCGATCCCTTGCCCTTGTTGAACCCGCACTTCACCAAAAATGATGTCTTCTTTCAGCAATTGATCTTTTCCATAATGACATATCCCGTTAGCAGGCTGGACAATGGTCTCTTGTGATTCATAATGTTTTCATTGACTACTTTTGAAAAATGGATCACCAGGCTTTTCTTCTTAGTCAGTCTTAGTCTAGATGCTCTACTGGAGACCACTGGTAAGCCTGCTGGTATTTGACATTTTGGAGGCATAGCTTCCAGCGTAATTGCAACACCCCTCACAGTGTGACAAACTGACAGATGCCTGGTAGATGATACATTTGAAATTAATTAAAAGCATACCCAGCTCAGAGCAAATAGTGAACATACATATGCTGGGTTCCTGCCTGGTTCCCTTCCCTTCTGGTCCAGAGGGGTTCAGTAAAAAATGAGCTCTGGCAGGTAAGGTCAGAGTATTAATACCCTGGCGCTCTTTCCT